TTGGAGGAGTTAGCTGGGTATTGATAAGTAATATCCATCAAACCAAGATTGCTTATCAACGGATAAGCCAATTGTTTCAGTTTTCATCTCCATTTCTTTGCATCTATCAATACTATCACCACCAAAGGACGTAGTTTTCATTGTTTCTGGTCAGTTTGTTGTTCCTTATTCTGAGTTCAAGCAGTCTTTTCGGCGTCGTTTCTGATCCCGAAGGTGTCAACTTTTTGCAGCTTTTTGCTAAGTTCTGCGATGAAGAGGTTTAGGACTCACATTCCAGACCGAAATATGGACATCTCTGGTTTCCGCGTACGCTGCCTTTAAGGTCAGTAGATATGATGCTTCGGCTAAAGTGCGCAATGAAACAGATAACTCGTCCATAAAACTACTTAGTTGCGTGCGATACGGTTTCTGGAGGGAATTTCTCCGTCAAAAACGATAATTAAGTAAATGTTTTAAACCATAGCCTGCTTATCGGTGATCGCCTAAAATTCATCAACAATTCAAAATGCATTCTTGTAAAGGACGCCGCTAACTTTAAAGGCTTTATCCATTGCAAAACGCTGTGTAGTTTCTATCAGTTACAGCGTCGTACGTGGCTAAGCAAGACGAAGCTAATTCTTAAAAGTAAGCAGTCCTCCACGATAGCATACGAAGACGCAACACAGCAAAGTCTCGGCGCCGCAAGACCCAGGATACCTCTTGCTCCTGTTATCGAAGGGGCAGCAGAGTGCAGAACTGCTGCCTGCCTTTTTCATCACGCTGAGCGCTCAATCAGCCCCCGCAAAATATACGGCGGAGTCATGCGGCCCGCGGTGCGTCTGATATCCTGCATCGGTTTTAACCCAGTATCACAAGGTACTAAGGGTGTCTGACCTACCTTAGGGTTGCGTCACAAACCTTAATTTTTGGATGGCCTTCTCGGGGTATCCGGGAGGGCAACAAGAAGTGGTTGAATGTAAAGAATGTTTAAAGATAACGAATGTTTAAACTAACGTTTCAACATTCTTACCTGTGAGAGGCTCATATTATTATTCTCTTTTTCGCGGACTAAGACCACTAAGATGGGCTTGACCAGGACGCCATGTGTGTAAATTCATATCAGCTAAGCTGAATCTCATTGCTTTAATCTGTTTAAACATGTGTGGATGTCTGGCTGCACACCTTATTGGTCATATTCCGTGAAGAAGAAGAATGTATTTAATTACCAATCGTTTGTTACGG